TACTCTACAAGACGCTGATACTACCCGTGCTCTTATATGGATCTGAAGCATGGGTACTTACGCAAGCAGATGAGGCAGCTCTTGGAGTGTTTGAGAGAAAAATTCTCCGAAAGATCTATGGGCCAATCTGCGTTGACGGTGAATATCGCGAGTCGAATGAACCATGAGTTTTACCAGCTATTCGCGGACATCAACATTGTTAGACGTATTGAGCTGCAGCGGCGACTACGTTGGCTAGGTCATGTTGTGAGAATGGATGTAGATGCCCCAGGCCAGAAAGGCACATAAAAGCGAACCAGCTGATGGTTCGCGCAGAAGGGGAAGGCCAAGAATACGTTGGAAAAATCGAATCGAAAACAGTATCGCCGAAAATGGTCTTTCAAATTGGAAAAACGGCGCAAAAGACCGACGCGTCTGGAAATCTTTTCTAAGCTCGGCTTATGGAACGAACGTTCTGTCACAAGCCAGGTAAGTAAGTAATTTTCAAAAGGTCTATCAAAGGCGTGGATTTTTAAAAGACTATTTTTCAAAAAAAAAATTTTTAAGGTGTACCAAAGGCGTGATTTTTCAAAAATATGTTTTCAAGGGCCTATCAAAGGTGTGGTTTTTCAAAAATATGTTTTCAAGGGTCTATCAAAGGCGTGGTTTATCAAAAATATGTTTTCAAGGGTCTATCAAAGGCGTGGGTTTTTCAGAAATATGTTTTCAAGGGTCTATCAAAGGAGTGGACCTTTGAAAAACCACGCCGTAGATAGACCTTTGAAAAGCCACGCCTTTGATAGACCTTTGAAAATATAAATTTTAAAAAATCTGTGCTTATATATTATAAGTTTTTTTAATATTCCAACCTGGCCTCCCCAGTATATTCTTATTCCTGGAAATCTATTAATACATTTTTCACCCAAAAAAAATTATTAATAAACTGTAGTCTTTAGTATCTGGGGAACTACAAAATAAATCTCAAGTGATTTTACACAATTTTTTTTTTCAAATCAAAAACTCCGATAAGATTTTAGTTCTCCGATTATAGACAACTTAATGCATAACAATAACAATAAACAAAATCAATAATTATTTATGAAGCGTTTAGTGTCCACAAGTGATCGAACAAATTTGAAATGAACTGCAGCTACTGCTGAGTGAGGTGACCACCATTGTTTATAAAAACCTCTTCTCATGGCGGTAATTGAAATCAGTCGGTAATTAACGTTTAAAGCGGACAGGTGCGAATTGGCGAGAGAGAGACAATCCGCTAAGGTGTTTCGGCGGGTTTTATTTTTGTTTGTGATATAAAAGAAACTGGTTTTTGTTGTGAATGAGCAAATAAATAAAAAATAGACAACAACAAAAAATACAAAAATGCATTTGTTTATGTTGCTGACATTAGCAGCTCTGGCTGTGGGCAGTAGAATTGGTAAGGCAGTATAAAGTTCACAATTCTTTACTGAGAATCAGATTATTTATATATAAACAATTTTGAAATATTTTTTTTATTAATTTTGTCTATATATTTTGTAATCATTTTTAATATTTTTTTATTTTTTCCAGATGAAACCCATCCTCATCTAAATCACTTGAAATCAAATAAACCCGACACCATCCGAAACCCAAATGAATTGGATTCGGAATATTGGTACGACAATGCCCAAGCGTATTTACAACAAAAACTACAACAACAAACTAATTTAAACTTAAATAAAGCCAAAAATGTTATACTCTTTTTGGGTGATGGTATGTCCGTTCACACCCTGACCGCTGTACGTTCCTATATGGGTGATGCCTCCAAACAGCTGGTCTTTGAAAAATTTCCCTATGTTGGGTTATCAAAAACCTTCTGTGTTGATAAACAAGTTCCTGATTCAGCCTCCACTGCCACGGCCTATTTAAGTGGTGTCAAGGGTAATTACGGCACTATCGGTGTTAATGGCCAAGTACCCCGCTTTGATTGTGACTTGGGTCAGGATAAGTCATTGCACACCGAAAGTATTGCCAAATGGGCTCAAGATGCTGGAAAGAAAACTGGCCTGGTGACAACGGCCCGGGTAACCCATGCCTCCCCTGCCGGTGTCTATGCGCACACGGCCAATCGTGAATGGGAACATGATGGCAAGATTCGTGACAATGGATGTGACTCCGTGGCCAATGTGGACATTGCCCGGCAGCTGGTGGAATGGGATGTGGGCTCGCAGTTAAATGTCATTATGGGTGGTGGACGTCGCAATTTCCTCAATGAAAGTGTTGTTGATGAGACTGGCATTCCTGGAAATCGTACCGATGGTCGTAACCTCATCGAAGAATGGCTGAAGCGTAAGGAAGTTGAAAATAAAAAGGCCGCCTATGTTTGGAATAAAAAGGATATGGAAAATTTGATTAGCCAGGATGTGGATTATGTTTTGGGTTTATTTGCCCCCTCACATTGTCCCTATCATGGAGATTTGGAACGTTTGGGTCTGCAGGATGATATACCTTCGCTGAGTGAAATGACCGAAGCGGCCATTAGGCAATTGGAAAAGTCGGATAAGGGATATTTTTTATTTGTGGAAGGTGCCAAAATTGATATGGCCCATCATGACACGAGGGCTAGGAGGAGTATGGAAGAAACTGAGGAATTTAATCGAGCTGTGGAAGTGGCCTTGAACATGACTAACGGCGATGAGACACTTATTGTGGTGACTTCCGATCATTCACATACCATGACCATTAATGGGTATCCGGTGAGTAAAACAGTGGATTTTTTAAAAATATTTTTGGGGGTCATCATCAGACGTGGATTTTTAAAATAATTTTTGAAGGATCGCCAACAAGCGTGGATTTTTGAAAATTAATTTTTCAAGGATCGGCAACAGGCGTGGATTTTTAAAAATTAATTTTTCAAGGATCGCCAACAGGCGTGGATTTTTGAAAATTAATTTTTCAAGGATCGCCAACAGGCGTGAATTTTTGAAAATTAATTTTTCAAGGATCGCCAACTGGCGTGGATTTTTGAAAATTAATTTTTCAAGGATCGCTAACAGGCGTGGATTTTTGAAAATAATTTTTTCATGGGCGTGGGTCGCCAAAAGACGTGGATTTTTAAAATAAGGCGTGGGTTTTGAAAATATTTTTTTCATGGGCGTGGGTCGCCAAAAGGCGTGGATTTTGAAAATAAATTTTTCAAGGGACTGTAAAGGCTTGGGTCGCCAAAAGGCGTGGATTTTGAAAATAAATTTTTCATGGGCGTGGGTCGCCAAAAGGCGTGGATTTTGAAAATAAATTTTTCAAGGGACTGTAAAGGCTTGGGTCGCCAAAAGGCGTGGATTTTTAAAATTAATTTTTCAAGAGCCTGTAAAGGCGTGGGTCGCCGAAAGGCGTGGATTTTAAATTTAATTTTTTTTCAAAGGCCTGTAAAGGCGTGGGTCGCCAAAAGGCGTGGATTTTTAAAATTAATTTTTCAAGGGCCTGTAAAGGCGTGGGTCGCCAAAAGGTGTGGATTTTTAAAATTAATTTTTCAAGGGCCTGTAAAGGCGCGGGTCGCCAAAAGGCGTGGATTTTTAAAATTAATTTTTCAAGGGCCTGTAAAGGCGTGGGTCGCCAAAAGGCGTGGATTTTTTAAATTAATTTTCAAGGGCCTGTAAAGGCGTGGGTCGCCAAAAGGCGTGGATTTTTAAAATTAATTTTTCAAGGTCCTGTAAAGGCGTGGGTCGCCAAAAGGCGTGAATTTTTAAAATAAAATTTTCAAGGGCCATATAGAGGTGTGGATTTTTTAATGAGTTTTTCAAGAGGCCTATAGAGGCGTGGATATTTTTAATTAGTTTTTCAAGATCCTTATAGAGACGTGGATTTTTAAAATTAATTTTTGAAATGCCTGTAGAGGGTTGGATTTTTAAAATTAATTTTTCAAAGTCTAGTAGAGGGTTGGATTTTTAAAAGTCCTTTTTATGGGTCACCTGCTTAGCAATGACTAACTAAATACTTTTTCTTTATTTTTTTTTCAGTCCCGCAATGCCGACATTTTGGGTCTCAATGAAGATAAGGCCGCTGATGGTTTGCCCTATACCATCATCGCCTATGCCAACGGCCCTGGTTATGAGAAAACTTTCTCCGCTAAAAAAGGTCGCAAAGACCTAAGCGACAAAGACTTCACCGATCCCAAACGTAAATATATGGCCGCAGTGCCATTGGAATCGGAGACACATGGTGCCGATGATGTTGCCATTTTTGCCCAGGGTCCATTGGCCCATTACTTTAGTGGTAATTATTTACAAACTCACTTGCCCATGTTAATGGCTAGGGCAGCAAAAATTGGTCCATTTGCCTGGTAATCGAACGAAAGCAACAACAATAAAGTGAATACAAATTCAATAGCAATTATGTGATATAGTAGTTTTTTATACATTACAGAGAGAGAGAGAGAGAGAGAGAAAGAAAATAAATTGATATATTTTATTTATGTAATCCAATAGGAAAAAATACATATATATTTGCATTTTTTGTTATTACTCACACCACCACCAGCAAACATCCTTGGGCAGTGGAAAGTGCAAAAGAAGGTATTTGGAATAAAAAAAGATTCTAGGATTTAATTAAATTTATTCATAGCAAAAAAATGCACAGGTGATTTTGTGAAACAAGGTAAAATACCAAATAGCTTAAGTACTATTTAATCAAAAAATCTCAATTTTTTTTAAATTAAGGGGACCCCCCCCCATTCTCGGTGTCAAAAAATTTTTTGATTTAATTCGTTTCTACTCTAATTCTAGAATGTTCTTACAAAATTTCAAGTGAAAATCTCAAGAACTCTTGAAGATATAGCCGATTTATTATGTCAGCATCAAGTGATGGATAAAGGGCTTTTCAAAGTTTAAACGTGTTTTTCTCAAAACGAATGGCGGGCACGATAACTCAAAAACTAATAATCCAATCGGTTTCAAATTTTGACACGTTTCTCTGGGAGTGTGTAGCTCTCGTATGAACTAGGATAAAACCAATCGGTGAAGATCTTCCTTATTTTTTAACTTAGTTTGTGGTAAAAAATAGGCGATTTTCCACAAAAAAATTTTCAAAGTTCCGCCATTTTGTTAATTGTTTGCGAAGTCAATAATCCTAGTTCATACGAGAGCCAGACATGTCCTCTTTCTAACACAGTTGGAATTTTCGGATTCCGATGTTCCATTGTGGAGTTATCATGCCCGCCATCGAAAATATGGACATTTCTTTGAACCCAAAAAACAACAACAAAACAACAACAACAACAAATTTTGGTAAATTATTTTTCTTCCTTTTTAAATCTTCAAATATATATGTGCCAAGTTACAAACCTTAACAAGCATTGGTATTCATTTACCAGCCCATTTAAAATCTTAAAAATAAAAAATCGAGAATGGGGGGGGGTTCCCTTAATAAGAGTCCTACAAAGGCCTGCATATTTTAAACATATTTTTCCAATGGTCCAACACTGGTGTGGATTTTTTCAAAATATTTTTTTTTTCAGGGGTCCAACAGAGGCGTGGATTTTTATACCCTACACAACTATGTTGTCAGGGTATTATAGCTTTAGCAGACCAAACGAGGTTGTAACACCGCGAAATATTGGTCCTAGACCCACCTTAATTCATCTCGATCATATCTTGACTAGCTGAGTTGATTTAGACATGTGTGTCCGTCCGCCCATCTGTTCATTATAATTTTTAAACACGATACAGGCCACACGATATAGACCAATCTTCACGAAATTTTGCATGCAGGATGGGTTCTGCCCAATGATTGTTTTTGGTAAATCGGTTAATATTTAGGGGATGAAATGAACCAAATACTTCATTTTTGTCGTTTTTCTCTGGTCGCTTCAGAGGCCGCAATTATGGCCCAAACATCACGAATTTTTACATGGGAAAGGGGATCCGGACAGAGAATAAGCATGCCAATTTTTATAAAGATCGGTCAATATTTAGCGGGTCAAATGGACCCTGACTTTTGTGTGAAAAATTATAAAATTTGTATTCTGGAGCGTATATATTTACTCCTGAAGGACATTGACCCGGGAAGTTAATAGTGTATTCAGAGGAGTGGTTGACCTTTAAATAGATACAAATTATATGGCTCTATGTACTCGGATGTGGCAGTAGCAAATACATATTTACAGGTATCCACGTATTCAGATATTATTTAGTAACCTATTACCACAATAGAGGGCGGAAATATAATTTTAATGGGTCCCTTTTAAAAAATATTTTTAAAGATCCTCAATATTCAATATTTTCTACATTTTTTTTTATACCCTTCACCACACTGTGGTACAGGGTATTATGTATTTGTGCATATGTTTGTAAGAGGCTAAAGGAAACGAGATAGACACATGGTTCCATTTGAGAATATGCATAAAATCACTTTTTAAGTCGATTTATGTATGTCAGTCCGTTCGTTCGCCCATCCGTCTGTCCGTTTGTCTGTCCATGTTTAATTGTAAACAAAGTACAGGTCGCATTTATGACCCGAATTGGATGAGTTTTGGCATAGGTCACTTATTTGGCCAAAGGACGAGCCGTATTGAAATTGGGAAAAATCGGTTCAGATTTAGGTCCCTATGTACGGTCCCTATGTACATTTCGATTTGCACGAAATTTAACACAGCGTACGGAATTAAGTCTAGAGTGATGTGTGCTAAGTTTCGTGAAAATCGGTTCAGTTTAAGATATAGCTCCCATATATATTTTCGTCCGATTTAAGGTAAATGATGTACCAAGGTACCTATATATCTTTCGATTGGGATTTTCTGTAAATGATGTACCAAAGTCCTTATATATCTTTCGATTTGCACGAAATTTGGCATAGCGCAGTTTCCAGAAAATCGGTCCAGATTTGGATATAGCTCCCATATATATTTTCCTTCGATTTTCTATAAATGGTGTACCAAGGTCCTTATATGTCTTTCGAATTGCACAAAATTTGGCATATCGCAGTGAATTAGGTCTAGAATGATGTGTGTTAAGTTTCCTGAAAATCGGTCCAGATTTGGATATAGCTCCCATATATATTTTCGCCCGATTTAAGGTAAATGGTATACCAAAGTTCCTATATATCTTTCGAAGAGCACGAAATTTTGCATAACAAACTAAATTGAGTCTGGAATGATGTGGGTTAAGTTTCGTCAAAATCGGTTCAGATTTATATATAGCTCCTATATATATATATATATATATATATTCGTCCGATTTAATGTAAATGGTGTACCAATGGACGAAATTTGGCATAGCGTACTGACTTGAGTCTAGAATGATGTGTATAAAATTTCTTGAGCATCGGTTCAGATTTAGATATAACTCCTCTATATATTTTCGTCCGATTTAAGGTAAATGGGGCAACAAAGTCCCTATATATCTTTCAATTTGCACGAATTTTAGCATAGTGTCCTGACTTGAGTCCACAATGATGTGCGTAAAATTCATTGAAAATCGGATCAGATTTACATATAGCACCCTTATATATTTTTGACCGATTTAATGTAAATGGTTCAACAAAGTCCCTATATATTTTTGGAATTGCACGAAATTTTGCATAACAAACTGAATTGAGTCTGGAATGATGTGTGTTAAGTTTCGCGAAAATCGGTTCAGATTTAGATATAGCTCCCATATATATTTTCGACCGATTTAATGTAAATGGTGCACTTAAATCCCTATATATCTTTCGATTTGGACGAAATTTGGCATAGCGTACTGACTTGAGTCTAGAATGATGCGTATAAAATTTCTTGAACATCGGTTCAGATTTAGATGTAGTTCCCATATATATTTTCGTCCGATTTAATGTAAATGGTGCACCTAAGTCCCTATATATCCTTCGATTTGCACGAAATTTGGCATAGCGTACTGAATTGAGTCTGGAATGATGTCTGGTAAATTTTGGGAAAATCGTTTCAGATTTCGATATTGTAAGGATACAGTCGGCCCAGGCCGACTTTACTACTTTCCTTACAGGTTAAAATTGTTTTTGCAAGAATCGTTATTTAATAATATTTTTTAAGGGTCCACATCATTCAAGAATTTCCACATTTTTTATTCTTATCTTATTTGGCTTTTCAGAATCGTGTCAGCATATTTTTCCTGCTTGGGCTGTTAGTCTCATGCATATAAATTGTTATATCAAATAGGATTTCTGCTAACAATAAATGCTTTGTTTCAACAGAGAGTTGGGTATAGAAATGGACTCAATCAAAAAAATTCGGATAAAAGTGGAAAAAAAATAAAACTCAAATAAAATGGAAAGGTAAATACAGGTCAAACCGAAAAAATATCGGTCGTTTGAAATGAAACAAAAAGTAAGAAAAACTTATTCCAATTTTTATATAAATCTTGAAAATTCCAATGTTTACATTTCCAAGATAATTTCGAAAATATTTTTTTTTTTTTTTTTGTTGTTTTTTTATTTCAAATATTTTCATTCATCGTTACGAAAAATTCCCGTTAGTCAAGTTTTACAAATGTCTGCACTTAAATACAACAACGCTACTACAATTTGTAACCCGAATATCAGATGACAAATATTGTTCAAAGTTCGCTTATATCCCTGGTATTTGCTTGGTAATCCATTGCCCTGCTGGAAGCAAAAGCAATTTTTTTTCGTTCTCCGAAACTAAAATAAATATCGAGTTTGTCTTCTACGCTCAAAGTCGCAATTACAACAATAACCCCTTGTTATTCTCTTCTAAATGAACGCAATTGATAATAACGGGAATGTTGCTACTGTGGTAGTAGTTGTTGTTATTTTACAAAAATAAACTTTACTTTGGTAAACGATGGCATACGACACCATGTCCGATGACTGCTGCGAGGATGGATGCCGCTGATTGCCCTTGTTGTTGTTGTTGTCGTCGTCGTTATTGCATCTGTTTTTCGTTTTTAGATTGTGTAACAAAGTTCAAATTGCTATCTCGTATTTCCTTTGTCTTTGTAATGGAAACCGTCGCGCACACACATACACACTCCCGAACTCACAGAAACACACACTCACCCCAACAAAAGCTGTGCCATTACCATCACAATTTATGTGCTAACGGATGGTGCTAGGGAGGGAGTGACAGCTTTGGAGGATACAAATATCAAATGGAAGGATTGTTATTGCAAATAATATGAACTGTGAAAATAATCGAGAGAGAGAGAGAGAGAATAAGAGGGAAAGACACATACGGAGAGAGATCGAAATCGTACAATGCAAGAAACTTCATTTCATTTGTGTGGAAGGGGAGCCAAACCAATACCATACGTATAATAAATTGAGTATAAATTGGCACATGGTATGAGTGGTTTTGAATTGAAATGGTATTGTC